TGGCCAGGTCAGGATTTTGGGGGTCCCCCGAGGGGTTTGGGGGGTCCCCCGGGGGGTTTGGGGGTCCCCTGAGGGGTTTGGGGGTCTCCCAAGGGGCTTGGGAGGGCTCTGGGGGCAGGGCAGCCCCACGCCCGTGCTGCACGTGGGCTGGGCCACCTTCCTCGTGCAGTCCCTGGGCCGCTTCGATGGCCAGGTCAGGATTTTGGGGGTCCCTCGGGGGGTTTGGGGGTCCTCTGAGGGGTTTGGGGAGCCCTGGGGGTTTGGGAGAGCCCCTCCTGTGTGTGGCAGGGGGGCTGGGCCACCTTGCTTGGCCAGTTTCTTTGTCACCTTGGTGGCCAGGTGAGGCTTTTGGGGGTTCCTCGGGGGGTTCCCTGAGGGGTTTGGGGGGTTCCCCAAGGGGTTTGGGGGGGCTCTGGGGGCAGGGGAGCCCCTCCTGTGTGGCAGGGGGGCTGGGCCACCTTGCTGGGTCACATTGGTGGCCAGGTGAGGGGTCCTGAGTGGGGTCCCCAATGTCCTCTTTGGGGGGTCCTGAGTGGGGGCTGGGGTCCCCAATGTCCTCCTTGGGGGGCCCTGAGTGGGGGCTGGGGTCCCCAATGTCCTCTTTGGAGTTCCTGAGTTGGGTCTGGGGTCCCCATCTCCTCCCTGGGGGGGCCCTGAGTGGGGGCTGGGGTCCCCAATGTCCTCCTTGGGGTTCCTGAGTTGGGTCTGGGGTCCCCATCTCCTCCTTGGGGGGCACTGAGCAGGATGTGGGTTCCCCCATCTCTTTTTGGGGCCATCCTTGTGGGTTTGCGGGGGTCCTGAGTGGGGGCTGGGGTCCCCAATGTCCTCCTTGGGGTTCCTGAGTTGGGTCTGGGGTCCCCATCTCCTCCCTGGGGGGGCCCTGAGTGGGGGCTGGGGTCCCCAATGTCCTCTTTGGGGGGGTCCTGAGTGGGGTCTGGGGTCCCCCATCTCTTTTCTGGGATTTGGGGGGCTCCTAAATGTTCTCTGGGGTCCCCTAAAAACCTCAGGTGGGGGTTTGGGGGGGGGTCTCTAAATCCCCTCCGTGCCCCCCCCAGGTGCGCCAGCAGGTGACCCTCCTCTCCGAAGACCCCACCCCCCCAGAGGCAGATTTAGGGGGTCCCGAAGACCCCCGCGATTGCCGCCGCCGGGGTCCCCGCCGCGAATCCAAACCCGAGGAGCCGCCC